GTCATGAGGCATGAGCCACAACAAAACCCAGTATCAGAGCTTCATGAGGAGGAAGGCGGTGGGGGGACGACACAGGGGCGGGGGGGGGGGGGGGGGGGGGGGGGGGGAGGACGACGACGACGACGACGAACGGACGGGGACGGACACACACACACACACACACACACACACACACACACACACACACGGACGACGACATGACACAACGAAAGGATCAGGCCTGGAGAAGAAGCAGAGAACAGAGAGACAGTGGGAACAGGAGAGAACAGAGAGGAAGGAGGAGGAGTCTGTGTCCGGCTATTTAAGGATTCCCATGAACACGCACAGGTGGGCTTAGGGAGCTACCCCATGCGCTATTGTGTGACCACGCCACAATACCCCTTGCTTAGCTGCTGAACTGTGCATGTGTGCCCATGCAGCTGGAGTGGCAGCAGAATCCTAACAATACTTCCACGCAAGCATGCAATAACAAGTACATCCAATACAGTTGTTTATATACATAAAAATTTAAAGCAAATTAAATGACAGATTCAAATAAATTATTTCATAGGCAATGCTACTTATGCTAAAAATTAAAAGTGTGGAAAATATGTAACAAAAAAGGTACTAATAACACATGAAAAAAAGTTATATCATCACTCATCTTAAGTTATAGGACCACACATGTTAAGTTATATGAGCACATATTTTATGTGATCACTCAAGTCATATGACCACACATTATGTATTATATGACCACACACATTATATGACTACACATCTTAAGTGACAGATACAGAAGTCAGTTAGTGGCACTGGGAATATAGTAGTGTTTGATGAACACGACTGAGGCTCTGGGTTCAATCCACAGCACTGCCAAAAAAGAAAAACTGCTGGGTAGTATTGGGCACACGCCTTTAATCCCAGCACTTGGGAGGCAAAGGCAGGCGGATTTCTGAGTTCCAGGACAGCCAGGGCTACACAGAGAAACACTATCTGGAAAAACAAAAAACAAAAACAGGAAAGAAAGAAAAAGAAAAAAGAAAAACTGCTAGAAGCCAAAGATTAATAGTGCTGGTCATGGTGGCACACACCTATAACCTTCACATTTAGAGTGAAGGCAGATAGGTCAGGAATTCAAGGTCATCCTCACGATATGGAGAGTTTGAGAGGCCAGCCTTGGCTACACCATACCCTATCTCCTGCCCCCACAAAAAGTAAGTAGGCATGCATACACGTTTTTAAAGACTTGCTTTTATTATTTTTAATTATGTGTAGGGGTGTGTGTCTGTCTGGAGTATGTACACATGAGTGCATGAACTCTCAGAAGCCAGAGGCATCACATCCTGGAGACGGAGTTACACAGACAGTTGTAGCCCCCTGATGTGTAGGTTGAGAACAAAATTCAGGTCCTTGGGAAGAACAGCAAGTGCTCTTAACCACTGAACTACCTGTCCAGCCCTGTTTTTTATAGTGTAAATAAAACTGAAGGCACACAGAAGCCAGAGGCTGAGTCAGGCATCTTCTATCTCTCTTTACCCTATTTTTTTCTGATAGGGTCTTTCACTGATCCGAGGGTTCAACAAGTCTGCCAGATGTACTACTATTTCTTCCTCACCTCTCAAATATTATTAAGGACCAGCCTTAATAATCTTCCCAGGGGTCCAGAAGAGGAGCTACAAACGGCAAGAACTATTTTCGGGGAAAAGAATCTAAGTTCACTGAGTTCTTCTGTCCGTCGACTTTATTCCTCTGGGATAAAATTCTATCTACACAGCTTCAGTACTATTCTCATGCCTAACTCCTTTCTTGCCTGATTTCTCTCTACCTTTATCTGCTGTCCCCTCTAAGTTCTATCTTAATTCTCTCATCTTAGTTCTGCCCCATCTGGCTCTTCTTCATCTTCCATCTCATCCTAAAGTTCTCTAGTCAAAATTCTCCTCTCTCTCTTTATTCCTCTCAGTTCTCTCCAAGTCTCTGAGGTATTCAGTTATAAACTCAAGCAATAGCAATCCTCTGGCAGAGCAAGGTCACCAAGCTTGAATTCTTACAGGTTCATAAAGGCAGACAAGAGTTTTCCCCAGGCAATAACCATCAGGCTTTCTTTTACAACCCAAAAGGGAAGTGGTAAAGGAGGAGGTCAACTGAGAGCTAATGATCAGTTAGTATATCAAAAAAAGGGAATTTATGTGATCAATTCCTAGAAGTGGTTAGGTAAAATGTTAGAAGTCTATACTGTTAGTATAAATACCACTAAGGCTGTCTAAGAAAGGAGGGTCTCCAAACCCAGAAAGACAAACATGATATGTACTCACTCATAAGTGGATACTAGATAAAGCAAAGAACAATCAGACTGCAACCCACAGAACCAGGGAGGCCACATAGCAGGGGGGAACCTAGGATGACTGGCTTATAATAAGTTTTGGTTTTACTCAATCACTGGGCAAGCCTCAATGAAACATTTCACTATTAGGATAAGAATTTATACTGTATCTAGCTGATAAGAGAAAAATAAATAAATAAATAAATAAATAAAAAGAAAAAAAAAGGAGGGTCTCAGCTTAAATTGTACAAGAAATAAAGCTATCTGTCTGACCTAGCTGACAGGTGTTGTTTCCATAAGGGTGCTACCTTAGTTCAGGAGATCATTTGGCCTTGGATGCTTGATAGGTATTTTAGATAAAAACAGTTAGGAGTTCTTGAAAGCGCACATAGCATACATGAAAATCATAATCATTGTAGGGATCATCTAATATATATAGAAAAGCTAAACTATCACCAAGACTTCTTAAGCCATGCTTTGACCTTCGGAAAAGTCCTTGACCTTTCCAAGTAGTAGCTTTTGAGATAGTAGCTGGGTTCCATTACACTTTCCGTGGCATGCAGCACTCCGGTGCTAGGACTGCAAATGCACATCACCATGCCTGACTGTGTATGCGGTGTTGGAGATCCAACCTCAAGCTCTTATGCCTGCCTGGCAAGCACTTTACAGCCTGGGTCATCCATCACCCAACACCGCCATCTCCACAGTGTTAACAGCAAGAACACAAAAATCTTTCAAGTTTCTTCTGATGAGCTGCTGCTGGTGGTGCACACCCAAAACTGCAGCAGATGGAGGGGCTATGAGGACTGCTGTAAATTCAAGGACCACCTCGGTTACATAACAACTTTGAGGCAAGCCTGGATAAATGACTGTTTAAAAAAAAAGATACTTTTTTTTGTGTTGATGCCTGGAACCTAGGGCCTCACACATGCTTAGAGAAGCACTTGACACCTCCCTTAAAATTACTTCTGTGGGGCCAGGCGGTGGTGGCACACGCCTGTAATCCCAGCACTCGGGAGGCAGAGCCAGGCAGGTCTCGGTGAATTTGAGGCCAGCCTGGTCTACAGTGTGAGATCCAGGACAGGCACCAAAACTACACAGAGAAACCCTGTCTCAAAAAAACAACAGCAACAACAAAATTACTTCTAGGCCAGGCAGTGGTGGCGCACGCCTGTAATTCCAGCACTCAGGAGGCAGAGCCAGGTGGATCTCTGTGAGTTCAAGGCAAGCCTGGTCTACAGAGCTAGTCCAGGACAGGCTCCAAAGCTACAGAGAAACCCTGTCTCAAAAAACCAAATTAAAAAAAAAAAAATAAAATTAAATAAATTATAACAAAAAATACTTCTAAGCCGGGCGGTGGTGGTGCACGCCTGTAATCAGCACTAGGGAGGCAGAGGCAGGCGGATCTCTGTGAGTTCGAGGCCAGCCTGGTCTACAGAGTGAGTTCCATGAAAGGCACAAAGCTACACAGAGAAACCCTGTCTCGGAAAAAAAAAAAAAAAGTTGAAAAAAAAATACTTCTAAAACATTTAAGTCATTCACAACAGCAAAAAGATTGAAGCAACAGTGTCAACTAGGAGGTAAATAAAACGTGGAATATAATAAAACACTTGTTTTTAGGATGAAACTTCTGACATGGCTGCAAAATTAAACCTTGAAGAGATTATTCTAAGTGAAATAAGTAAATCAAACATTGTATGATTCCAATTATATTTGGTTCTTGGAGCAGTCAGATTCAGAGACAGAAAGTAGAATAGTGGTTGCCAGGGACAACATTACTGTTTAGTATTGAAGCAAGGGAAGATGAAAAAGTTCTGGCAATAAATGGTAGCGAAGGTCACACAAGAATACAAATGTAGTTAATGCCAGCCGACAATACAAACACAGTTAAAATGCAGTGAACGTCCATTCTATTGCAATTTTATGTGATAGAGATTCCAACTTAACAGGAAAACAGTCACAGACCTCAGGAGTAGGGAAATCATTAGTTGTTTTTTTTTTTTTGGGGGGGGGGGGGTTGAGACAGGGTTTCTCTCTGTAGTTTTGGTGCCTGTCCTGGATCTTGCTCTGTAGACCAGGGTGGCCTCGAACTCACCTGGCTCTGTCTCCCGAGTGCTGGGATTAAAGAAAGGTGTGCGCCACCAACACCCAGCTCAGTCATTAGTTTCTACACAACATAATACTCATTCGTTTTCTTTTTCTTTTCTTTTCCTTTTTTTTTTTTTTTTTTTAGAGACAGGGTTTCTCTGTGTAGCTTTGGAGCCTCTCCTGAAACTCCTGAAAGTCATCCTGACTTCCACGTATGTATGGCAGGCACTTGCCCATAAATATGCAAAGAAAAGCCCTCACTTTTGACTCAATAAAAATGAGCTAATTTTTCTGGGTGGTGGTGGCACGTCTTTAACCCCAGCACTCAGGAGGCAGAGGCAGGAAGATTCAAGGCCAGCCTGGTCTGTAGAGAGAGTTCCAGGACAGCCAGGGCTACACAGTGAAACCTTGTCTCAAAAAAACAAAAGGAGCTGGGCAGTGGTGGCGCACGCCTTTAATCCCAGCACTCGGGAGGCAGAGGCAGGCGGATCTCTGTGAGTTCGAGGCCAGCCTGGGCTACCAAGTGAGTTCCAGGAAAGGCGCAAAGCTACACAGAGAAACTCTGTCTCGAAAAACCAAAAAAAAAAAAAAAGGAAGAGAGAGAAAGAAAAAATTAGCTAGTCTTATAAAAAGTTAGTATGTAAGTCATCTCACATTACCAGTATATCCTAGAAGGTGCCAAGTACATCTGAACTTTTTGAGAAAATTATTAAGAAGTGGTAACCTCCCTGTGAGTTCGAGGCCAGCCTGGGCTACCAAGCGAGTCCTAGGAAAGGCGCAAAGCTACACAGAGAAACCCTGTCTCGAAAAACAAAAAAACAAAACAAGAAGTGGTAACCTCTCTTGCTCACTCTTGGTGTAGGGAATGATGAACCCAGGGCTTTCTAAGACAGAGTACAACTATGTGCCTCAAACTAGCCTGGAACTCACAACCTTCCTCTCAAGTGCTGAGATATAGGTATGTGATATGATACCATGCCCAAGACAAAAAAGTAGTAAGATTTTTAAGAAGCCTTTACACATTTAGTACAAATCCTAAAATCAACACCAGGTGTGGTGGCTTGTGCCTATAATGCTAAAGCAGGAGGCAGGAGGATTGCTAAGAGTTCTAGGCCAGCTTAAGCTATAAAAAGGAAAAAACAATCCTAAAGTCAAAAGCAATTCAATTAAGCTTTCAAGTTAGAAAATTCTCTTCAAATTTCTAGGTAAAAAATTTTGTATATCATGTCAGCATCTCAAAAAGATCTTTTTCTCAAGAGATCTTTTTAAACTAAACCAAAAAGAATCACTTGGCTCGTAGCCCTAGCTGAGATGAAGCTTAACATATGGCTGAGCTACATAGTTTGGGTCAGGAAGAAACAAGACAGAAGTACAATTTGTGCTCTAAAGCTGAGCACACATATGAAATGCTGTGTGGGGGTGTGATGTATTACTCCACTCTACCAGCAGATCTTCTTGGCAATGAGTGGTATAATTCTGAACAATCTTGGCCTCATATTATCATGAATATGCAAACTGGGGAACCCACATAATATAAGGACACAGACACGATCATTTAAGAATTGTTGGAATGTCATTCTATCATTTGTCAAAGGTTAAAATCAGATGTTATTGGGCAGGTGTGATGGTGCACACCTTTAATTTCAATACCAGGGAGGCAGAGGCAGTCTGATCTACATAGCAAGTTCCAGACCAGTCAGAGCTACATAGTAATAGCCTGTCTTAAAGAAAAAACAAAAAGCACAATATAAAATCAGATGTTACCAGTGAAGGATGGAAACTAGGCCATGATTACGTCTAAATTCAATTCACAATATAAATTTGTTTTTCAAGTCTTCAGTTTTCATTTTTCAGTGTTGATTTTTATAATTATAAATTTATAAATTGTCTTCGTATTTTTAAGATAAAATTGTAAAAGGCAGAGTGCTTATCTAGCATTTCCTAGGCCCCACTCCCCAATATCAGGGGAATAAAATGGGGTGTAGTGAGACTCTTCTGTAATCCTAGTACTACAAGGTAGAGGCGAAAATTTCAGGAATTAAGGCAATCCTATGCTATCTAGTAAGTTCCACGCCAGCCTGGGCTATTTGACATCTTATCTCAAGAACAAACAAAAAATAAATAAACAACATATAAGACTTCATGTAGTCTTGTGGATACGCCTATAGCTCAGTGGGAAAGCTTGTATTTGGCATGCCAGAAGTCCTCGGTTCAATTTCCAGTACCCAAAACCAAAACCAAACAAAACCCCCATAGTCCCTACACGCAAAGATTTCACAAAACTTTAAAGACAAAAATATCTGATTTCAAACAATAAACAAAAATATCTTGATTCTTAAGTTACTAAACAAGGTCAATTAATTCTGATTATTATAAAGTAAGCACATTACCATCATATGCCCAAAGATTTGAAAGAAACAATTTGGAGGAAAAGTACTTTACTAGGGAAGAAAAGAATAAAAGCTATACATTCAGGTTTGTATGCAATATTACAATTATCTTCTAGAAAACAGTTATTACAGGAGAAAGGGGAAAAAAAATTCATGCCTGACCCAGTTAGGTTTTAGTGAGTACCCTTCCGAGTAATCTTTTAGCACTGACTCATGCAGTTTCTATCTCCAGAGGCTACTTCCAAAAAGTCCAGTAACTTCCTTTTCAAAATATAGACTGTAAGGGCTAGAGAGGTGGTGGAGTAGTCAAGAGCTTTCACTGCTCCTGCAGAGGACTGGGGTTCAGTTCCCAGCATCCACATGGTGGCTTACAACCATCTGTAATTCCAGTTCCAGGGGATCCAATGCCCTCTGCTGACCTCTGTGGGCACCAGAGATGCACGTGTTGTACATACATACATGCAAAAAACAGGCAGGAAGACAACTCACATAAAATTAAATAAATAATTTTTTAAAAGCTGGGAGTGGTGGCACACTCCTTTAATCTCAGCACTCAAAAGGCAGAGGCAGGCAGATCTCTGTGAGGCTCAAGGCCAGCCTGGGCTACACATGGAACTCAAGGACAGCTAAGATTACATAAAAAGACACTATATCAACCACCACCACCACCACCACCACCACCACCACCACGGCCAAAAATTTTGTACATGATATTGATATGGCTTTCTCTTTTCTCTTTTTGCTGGAGCTGAGGACCGAACCCACGGCCTTGTACTTGCTAGGCCAGCGCTCTACCACTGAGCTAAAGTTCCAACCCCTTCTTTTCTTTTTTGTGCAGTCTGATTGTCCTAGTCTGATCTGGACATACAGTCCAGGTTAGCCTCAGTCTCCTGAGTGCTGGGATTAGACATGTGCCAACATAGCTAGCCACAATATGGATTTGAAAGAGCATTAGAAGGTGGCATGTAATACAGCTTTCTAAAAAAATACAGTATCACTGACCAAGCTCAATATTGCCCTACATACTGCCTCAGTTTCCTCCTTTATTAGAGCACTTCCATACCAAGTTCTCTAGGTTATGTCAATTAATCACAAAGCAGAAAGGCTGGCATAAATCTGACATTTTTTGAAGTTCAGAATAAAAGGCTTCATAGCTTTCCATGGCCTATTTTAAAGAAAAGGAAAGCTGGTTCATTCACTTGCTCAGCAGCTTTAGAAACAAACACAAAGGCTCCATGCTGCCATGATTTTATTTTAAAGAACAATACTTGTGAAAGGCAGGTAAATACATGGGTAATAAAAGGGAAAATGGCAGACACAATTTCATGCAAGAACTATATTAAGCAACTAAGAAAAACCATCCTGTTTCCCACATACATTAGTCCTAACACTAACCTCCAAAGTTTTCTTATTGTCCTGATTTTATTCCTCTTTCAATCCCTTCTAGGAACACCGAGTACCACCTCCTTCTTCATAGCTAATAAATGATTTCAAAGAGTATCAGAAGGCAGCAATTCCTCGGCCACCTACATGCTCCAGGTGCATTCACTCCATCATTTAAATACACAAAGAATTCTCTCTGCAGCTGAATGTGCAGCATTCAGAGTATGTTTGCTCTGATGTCACACACGGCAACACAAGCAGTGGTTGACGGGTCACTGCAGACCTCAGGCTGGGGACTAATGGAGAAACCACTAAGTATTCAGTGCAATTAGAATGATATTCTGAATTATGAACTGATTTCGATACTGACCTTTGCTTTTGTTCCCAGTGAAAAATAAGCCTTATTGTAGCAGCATGTCCCCAGCTTTCCCCTAAAAAAAAAAAAATTAACTATATAAGACTTTTAGACTATAAGCCTATAGTCTAAAACTATAAAGTTAAAAACTATAGTATTTTTTTAAGTTGCTTAGAATGTCTCTGGCCAAATCTCTGGCCAAATACTATCTTATATTACCAAATTCAGATTAAGAATATTCTTGGACCAGATGATGGCAGCACATGCCTTTAATTCCAGCTCTCAGGAGGCAGAGGCAGGTGGATCTCTGGGAGTTCAAGACCAGTCTGTTCTACAGAGCCAGTTTCAGGACAGCCAGGGCTGTTACACAGAGAAACTATCTTGAGAAACTAACAAAAAAGAAAGGAAGGAAGGAGAAAAGAAAAGAAAAATATAATAATTTTACTTAAAAAAAAAAAATTCTTGGTTTTGGCCAGGCAGTGGTGGTGTACACTTTTAATCCTAGCACTCAGGAGGCAGAGGCAGGAGAATCTCTGAGTTTGAGGCCAGCCTGGTCTACAGAGTGAGTTCCAGGACGACCAAAGTTACACAGAGAACCCTGTCTCAAAAACAAACAAACAAAAAAACAAATCAAACCAAGGAAATGTTCTTGGTTTCAAAACCTGCAGGATATGAGTAAGAGATCCTAAGAGTGACAGAGCTTTAATTATCTAGGAAAGCAATGCAAATCATTACTCTCTATTGTTTCATGGACAGGTTACAGTTTCAGTGTATTACCAATCTCCCACTCCATAAGGCCTACTGTGTATTTTTGACACCCAGTAACAGGGTCTCATTTGGTCCTAACTGGCCTAGAACTCGATATGTAGACCAGGCTAGCCTTGAAATAAGAGAACTCTGCCTGCTTTTACCTCTGGTGATAGGATTAAAGACATGCCATCATGGAGATTTCATTATGCAGTCCAGGCTTGCCTGGGACTTCTGGGCTAAAGTGATCTTCCTACTTCAGCCTCATGAGGAGCTGGGGCTACAGCTCTTTATCATGTTTGGCATATTGAGTATTACTGGACTTCAGTAGAGATAGCTCTTGAAGTATTGTGTTCTAATAAAATCACATTAGGAATATACCTGTTTGCACTAGTATGATGTGTATTTAAATAGACTCATTCTCCTTCCTGCCTAAGACTGAGGGTTTGGGCTTTTTAAAATTTATGTTTCATTTTAAGCTGTCAGTGCTCTTAATGGCTGAGCCATCTCTCAGGCCCCCAAGATTGAGGGGTTTGTTTGTTGAGACAGGGCTTCTGTGTAGCCCTGTCTGTCCTGAACTCTCTGTAGACCAGGCTAGCCTCAAACTCAGAGATCCACCTGCCTCTGCCTCCTAAGTGCTGGATTAAAGGCATGTGCCACCACCACCCAGCAAGACTGTGTAGCTAGAGTTTTCCTGCCTGGCCCACAGTCAGGACAAATCTCTGCCACCCGCCAGTCCCACAGCCACTCAGACCCGACCAAGTAAACACAGAGACTTATACTGGTTACAAACTGTATGGCCGTGGCAGGCTTCTTGCTAACTGTTCTTACAGCTTAAATTAATCCATTTCCATTAATCTATACCTTGCCACATGGCTCGTGGCTTACCGGTATGGTATCTTCACATTGTTTCTCATCGTGGCGGCTGGCAGTCTCTCTGACTCAGCCTTCCACTTCCCAGCTTTATTCTCCTCCTTGTCCCGCCTACACTTCCTGCCTAGCCAATGGCCAATCAGTGTTTTATTTATTAACTAATTAGCAACACATTTGCCATACAGAACACTCCACAGCAAGACTGAGGTTTTAATGTCTAAAATCCTATTTTGAATATTTACTTCTCAGGTTTCTAACATAGTTGCCAGATAGTAGGTACTCAATAAATGTCTGTTAAATTATGAAATGGTAGGTCAGCATCTCAGGACACTGTGCTCAGTGATCAGATGTGTCAGTGAGTAAAGCAGCCTCTACTTAAAAGCTTATAGTATTCAAACACATGAAAAGGTAGGAAAACATTACAACAAAAATGTTTTATCTACTTCATTTACCCACCTAATGCAGGGACAAGTAATGCTTGATTTTTATCAATCTTTGTTGTCATTTGATTAGTTAAAATAACCTATAAAAGTAAAACATAAGAGAGTTAGGATATGCTTGGTGGTGGTAGCACATGACTTTAATTCTAGCACTTGTGAGTTTGAGGCCAGCTTGGTCTATAGAGCTGGTTCCAGGATAGCCAGAGATGTTACAGAGAGAAACCCTGTCTTGAAAAAAAAAAACAAACAAACAACAAGTTGTATGTAAACAGTCCTATGAGCTTAATATTCTGAATATAACAAGTTAAAAGAAAATATATTAGAGACTGTAGAGATGACTCAAATTCAGGACCCATATTCAATTTCCAGACTCACATGATGACTCACAACAACCTCTAACAGAGGTTCTCAACCTTCCTAGTGCTTCAACCCTTTAACACAGTTCCTCATGTTGTGGTGGCCCCAACCACAAAATTATTTTCATTGCTATTTCATACCTGTAATTTTGCTACTGTTATGAATCATAAAGTAAATATCTGTGGTTTTGGATAATTTGGAGGTCTCGACCCACAAGTTGAGAAGCTGATTTATAACTTCAGTTCCAGAAGACCTGATGCCCTCTTATGACCTCCTCCAGCACCAGGCACACATGTGGGGCACAAACATACATGCAGGCAAACACATACAAATTAAGTAACCTTTTAAAAATACAATTCTTTCTGAAGTAAGGGGAAGAGATGAGGGGGATATGCTCACTTCTTTGAAAATTTGAAAGTGCTGAGATTAAAGTCCTAAATCACCAACACCTGGCATACATGTTTTCTTTTATAAATTGCCTTGGTCAGGGAAGGACTGGGAGGACAGGAGGGAAGGGTAACTTTGGTAGGGATGTAAAAACAAAAATAAATAAATAAATAAAGTATTCCATTTAATAAAATTTAAAAGCATTAAAGAAAAATAAGTAAGTTGCCTTGGTCATAGTGTTTTGTCACAGCACTGTAAAGGTAAGACAGCTAAGCATAGTGGTACATGCCTTTAACCCAGCACTTAGGAGGCAAGAGGCAGGGGCAGATAAATCTCTGTGGGGTTTTTTTTTTTTGCTGTTGTTGTTTGTTTGTTTTTTCCAAGACAAGATTTCTCTTCTTGGCTGTCCTGGATCTCACTCTGTAGACCAGGCTGGCCTTGAACTCACAGAAATCCACCTGCCTCTGCCTCTGGAGTGCTGGGATTAAAGGCCTGAGATACCAATGCCTGGCTAAATCTCTGTGTTTAATTCTAGCCTGGTGGAATGAGTTCTAGGAAAGACAGAGGTACATAGTGAGACCTTTTCTTAAAAAAAAAAGAGTAAGATCGAGTTCAAGGTCATCCTCAGATGTATAGTGAGTTTAAAGCCAATCTGACCTAAATGAGACCTTGCCCTGAAAAAACAAAACAATAAAACTCTAGTTTCTAACCACCATCTTTAATTCCAGTCTTCGATCCAATGCCCTCTTCTGGCCTCCTTGGACACAGCATGGACATGGTGCACAAACATACATGCAGGTGTAGTACACATGCACGCATAAAAGATTTTAAAAAATTAAAAATAAGGTGGAGAGCGACTGAGGAAGACAGCCAATGTTGACCTCTGGCCTCCACAGGCCCAGGCCCATGCCCACTTGTACATGGGCTTACATGTACACACACAATCCAAAATTTATATACATATAAATGGAGAGAGCTAAATTAAAATAGGGCAGGAGATGTATGAAGTTCAATGGAGGAACGTCTGCTTAGTATGTCTGAAGTCCTGAGTTGGAGCAGCAGCAACAGCAGCAAAACAACAAAACAAGAAAAACCCACCAAAACCTAGAGAACTGACTCTATGCAGACTATTTGTCTTGAGCGCCCTCTACTGGGGGATCTTCAGGATACCACCACTAACAATGCTAAATTCCAATTAACAGTAAGAAATAATTCAAAGAGCACTATGCTTTGGCAAAAAGAATATGGCAAGAGGGCTGGTAAGATGGCTCAGTGGGTAAAGACTTCTCCATGGAGTCTGACAATGTAGGTTTGCTCTCTGGGCCCCCATAGTGGAGAGAACTGACTTCTGTAAGTTGTCCTCTGACCATGTAAGTGCCATGGCACATGCAACCACACATGTACATGAACACAAAATAAATAAAATATAATTTAAGAATAAGATCTGGAAACGTAAAGAAAATGTATGTGTTTTATTTATTTATTTGTTTGTTTAATTTCCTATTATCAGCTTGATACAGTACAAATTCTTATCCTAATAGTGAAATGTTTCATTGAGGCTTGCCCAGTAATTGAGTAAAACTATGTGGCCTCCCTGGTTCTGTGGGTTGCAGTCTGATTGTTCTTTGCTTTATATCTAGTATCCACTTATGAGTGAGTACATACCATGTTTGTCCTTCTGGGTTTAGGTTACCTCACTCAGGATGTTTTTTTCTAGTTCCATCCATTTACCTGCAAACCTCATGCTGTCATTGTTTTTCTCTGCTGAGTAGTAAGTACTCCATTGTGTCTATGTACCGCATAGAAAGTGTGTATGTTTTAAATTTTATAGAGAAAGTTCTTTATTTACGTTTGGTGTATCATAGGCACATGCTAACAACTCCCTGGAAAGGTAAAAACACTAAGTCAAAGCATCTTCTCTCCCACCTCTCTTCTGACAAGAGCACTTTGTCAGTGGGCGGAGGTGGCTGCAGAGTGGGAATCACTGGCTAACCCTAACACTGCACTCCTCGGCTCTGCACTATGCACTTCTCCCTTCACACTTCCAATCTAATGGTTCTAGGGCCTAGGCAGTCGCTCTAAAGAACACTTGCCTACTATGCTTGAGGCTCTGTGTCTAATCACTATTATTACCAAAAAAAACCAACCAAACAAAAAAACCTTGGCTTTTCCATAAACCATCTCCATTAAAAGCACTGTACAATAACAAATGTCTGTAATGTCAGTATTCAGGAGGATAATGAGTTCAAGGACGGACAGACTACATATCACATTTCAGACTATTTATCCAGGTTGTTTCCAACAAGCAACAATAACAACCACAAACCCCCAAAACCATGTTCATGTTATTTATCCTTACTCATGCAAAATATGTATAAATTTAGACATTAATTTTTGTTTGTTTTGCTTTTTTGAGACAGGGTTTCTCTGTGTAGCCCTGGCTGTCCTGGAACTCACTTTGTAGACCAGACTGGCCTTGAACTCAGAGATCCACCTGCGTCTGCTGCCCCAGTGCTGGGAATGTATGTACAACTACCACTGCCAAGCTAGACATTAATATTTCATACAATCCTAACTATAAAATTAATTGATTAATAATACTTACAGCTAACCTGTGATTATTTGCAAGGCTGATCATTTGTTGGGCCAGGCCATTTAGTAGTCGAGTACGAAGGGACAGATCATCAAAGTCATGACGAAAAGGAAAAGCAATACCATCTATGATCACCAACCGCACCTAAACACAGGAGAATGAAATCAGGTTCTGAGTTAGAATTACAATAATAAAAATGGCATCCCAAAAGCATATTCCATTACAGAAATAAATCTTAAAATCGAGGGCTTACAAAAGAAAGGCATCGAGTAGGGTGCAGTGGCACCTTTAATCCCAGCACTCTGGGAGGCAGAGGCAAGTGGATCTCTGTGTGTTTAATACCAGCCTGGTCTACAGAGTGAGTTCCAGGACAGCCAGGGCTGTTACACAGAGAAATTCTGTCTCAAAAAACAAAAACAAGGGCTGGAGAGATGGCTCAGCAGTTAAGAGCACTGACTGCTCTTCCAGAGGTCCTGAGTTCAATTCCCAGCAACCACATGGTGGCTCACAACCATCTGTAATGAGATCTGGTGCCTCTTCTGGCCTGCAGTCACATATGCTATATACATAATAAATAAACAAATAAACAAATAAACAAATTTAAAAAAACTAAAACAAAACAAAACAAAAAAATTAAGAAATAAAAAAAAATTTTTTTAAAGAAAGAAAGAAAAGAAAAAAGAATTCTAGCCAGCTGGGCATTTTTGATGAAGCTGGAGAAATGGCTCAGAAGACTCAAGTTCAGTTCCTAGTACCCATGTCAGGCAGTTCACAACTTCCTATAACTCCAGCTGTCTAGGGGATCCCAATGCCCTCCTCTGGTCTCCAGTCACTTGCATAATTAAAAATAAGAGCACAGTGGTATATACCTGTAATCTCAGCACAAAAAAGGTAAAGGTAAGAAGAGGGTCATGAATTTCAGGCCCGCCTGGGCTATACAGTGAGACTATCTCAAATTAAAGAAAAATGAGTATTAGAATTTTCTTTTCTTTTATAATGTTGGAGTTAAATCTGTGGCACATACGTGGTAAGCATTCTACTACTGAGCTATATTCCTCACCCTCGGGCTTATTTCTAACTCTTCAAAGGTTTTCTTTTAAAATTCACTTTATTATTTTATGTGTATTAGTGTTTTGCCTCCATGTATGAATGTGTACCATGCTTGGTTCTGGTGGCTGTAAAGGCCAGAGGAGGGCAAGAGATCCCCTAGAACCAAATTTACAGATGGTTGTGAGCCACTATGTGGGTGTTGGAAATCCAACCCAGGTCCTCTGAAGAGCAGCCAGTGTTAACCGTTGAACCATCTCTCCAGCCTTCAAAGGCTTTCTTTCTTTTGCAAAGTATTCACCCAATGATCCTACACTAAACATTACCTGAACACACACACACACATATACACACACACACATATATATATTTTTTGAGACAGAGTTTCTCTGTGTAGTTTTGGTGCCTGTCCTGGATCTTGCTCTGTAGAACAGGCTGACCTCGAACTCACAGAGATCCACCTAGCTCTGCCTCCCAAGTGCTGGGATTAAAGGCATGGGCTACCTGAATACTATATGACATGCACATGCACAGTTCTAGTTTCATTTTTGTTGCTGTGAGATGGCTCAGCAGATAAGAGGACCCAGGTTCAATTCTCAGCACCCACACAGCAGTGTACAACCTTCTATAACTCCAGTTCCAGGAAATCAATGCCCTCTTTCAGGCTTGTGTGGCCACTGCACACACATGGTACACAGACACACATGCAAGCAAAATGCCCATATATACAAAAATAAAAAAAATTAACAAAAAAATTGTTATGGTATGGTGGGTTTGATTGAATGTCCCCATAGAGTCTAGTATCTGAATACTTGGTTCCCAGTTGGTGGTGCTGTTTGGCGAGGCTTAGGAGGTGTAGCTTTGCTCGAAGAAGTACATCACTGGGAACAAGTTTCGAGGTTTCAAAGCCATGTGCCATTTCCAGTTCCTTCTCTCTGCTTCCTGTTTGTGGTTCAATTAACTCTTATCTCTTAACCCTCTGCAACCAAAAGCTTAGGTAAACTCTTCCTTCTGTGAGTTGCCTTGGTCATGGTGTTTCAGCACAGTAACAGAAAACTAATTGCAAGAGAGCCTAAACAGCCACAATAATCTTGAAAAAGAACAAAGTTAGAGGACTCATGTTTTCTAATTTCAAAATGTACTAAAAAGCTATAGTAGGGGCTGGAGAGATGGCTCAGAGGTTAAGAGCACCCACTGCTCTTCCAGAGGTCCTGAGTTCAATTCCCAGCACCCACATGGTGGCTCACAACCATCTGTAATGAGATCTGGTGCCCTCTTCTGTGTACATAATAAATAAATCTTTAAAAAAAAAAAAAAAAAAAAAAAAGCTATAGTAACCAAAACAGTCTAATAGTAGCTGAGAATCTGTGGTAGAACCCTTGCCTAGCATGGACTAGACTCTAATTCGAGTCCCAGATAAAAGAGACTAACAGATTGGATAGATAAAGAGATAGTAGAATAAATAGATAGATACATATATACACACATGTGGTGATATTGTGTTCCCCAAAATATTGTGCACTCTAATAAATTTATCTGGGGTCAGAGAACAGAACAGCCACTAGACAGACATAGAAGTCAGAAAATGGTGGCACTCATACCTTTAATCCTAGCATTCCAGAGGCAGAAATCCCGCTGGATCTCTGAGTTTAAGGCCACACTGGAAACAGTCAGGCGTGGTAACAAGAGGTTTTAATCTCAGGAAGTGATGGCAGAAAGCAGGAAGGTATATAAGGCGTGAGGACCAGGAACTAGAACTGGTTAAGCTTCTAGGCTTTTAGCAGTAGTTCAGCTGAGAGCCATTCAGATGAGGACACAGAGGCTTCCAGTCTGAGGAAACAGATCAGCTGAGGAATTGGCAAGGTGAGGTGGCTGTGGCTTGTTCTGCCTCTCTGATGTTCCAGCATTCACCCCAATACCCAGCCAGGATTTGTTTTTGTTTTTTTTAAGATTTATTTATTTATTATGTATACAGTGTTCTGTCTGCAGGCCAGAAGTGGGCACCAGATCTCATTACAGATGGTTGTGAGCCACCATGTGGTTGCTGGGAATTGAACTCAGGACCTCTGGAAGAGCAAGCAGTGCTCTTAACCTCTGAGCCATCTCTCCAGCCCCCTAGATTTATTTTTATTAATAAGACCTTCTAAGATTTCTGCTACACATACACACATACATTGGATAGACAGATATAGACACATATAGATTAGATAGATAGACAGACAGACAGAGTGAGTAAGGAGAGGTAAACCAATTGAAATTAAGAAAAAAAAAAAAAAACAGAACAAATGCCAGGTATGGTGGCACACACCTTTAATCTCAGCACTCGGAAGTCAGAGGCAGGCGGATCTCTGAGTTTGAGGTAAACCTGGTCTACAGTACAAGTTCCAGGACAGCCAGGGCTGCACAAAAAAAAACCCTTGTCTTGGAAAAATAAATAAATAATAATAAATAAATAATAATAATTAAACAGGCTGAATATGGTAACAAAAGCCTGTATTCCAGCACTTGAGTGAAGACAGAATGATTAGAATTCAAGGTCAGCTGGGTAGGGTGACCCATACCTTTAATCTCAGCACACCAGAGGCAGAGGCAGGTGAATCTCAAGGCCAGACTGTTCTACAAAGTGAGTTCCAGGACAGCCAAGGATACAAAGAGAAACTTTGTCTCAAAAACAAAACAAAACAAAAAAACCAACAACAACAAAAAACCCAAACAAACAAACAAAAAAAACAAAACCTATACACAAGAACATATATTCTGAAAGGTGAATATATGCAAAATAAGTAGAGTATAATAAATAAGTTGTAGAGCAGGGACAGAGGGACTTCTGAACTGGCATCAAGTTTATACTACACTGCTGTTTACTTTTGTATTATCAACACTGTCAAACACATTGTTTCCCTACTCTGATCCATACCTTTGAATGATCTGAAAGGAAATCTGGAAGGAGATAGACTTGTGCCAGCAGCTCAGTGTAATCATGACAGCGGAAATAATAAATATGGGAAAGAATATTTTCAAGAGTAAAATCCTCCAAGGCTTTCTGATGGTCTGAAACAAACAACAAAACAATCTTAAAAGTTTCGTTTTTCTTTTTCTAATAGTCTGACAATCATAGATGGGCTTTGTATCCTTGAAAAAAACAGCATAATTTCTAGAAGATACCAGAACAACTGAAAAAAATCACTGTGAACTGTGACTTGATGAAGGCTGATCTATTGTTTTATGTTTTCGACTGTTTCATTAAGAGTTCTTGCAGAGGACCCAGGTTTGGTTCCCAGCACGCTCACAGCAGCTTACAACTGTTACAACTGTCCATAGCTCCAGTTCCAGGGGGTCCAATGCCGCCTTCTGGCCTCCATGAGCATCAGGCACAGGCATGGTGCACTTTGATGCAGACAAAACACCCAATCACATTAAAATATTTTTTAAAAAATATTTTAAAATGCAATAATTAGTTTCTCATTTCAATACGAAACTCATTTTATCATCTTTGATTTTATGTGTAACGTACTAGGGACTGTTTACTCACAAAATAAAACTAGATTCTGTTTATCTTTTCGTATCTCCAGTTATTGATTTCCACTGAACAGAAGTATCACAACTGAAGCTTCTCTTTCTTGTTTTTGAAGAATACAAATTCGGAATTCAAAGGAGGAGCTGGTGAGATGGCTCAGTGGTTAACAGCACTGACTGCTCTTCCAGAGGACCTAGGTTCAATTCCCAGCACCCAGGTGGCAGCTAACAACTGTCTGATACCCTCACACAGACATACATGCAGGCAATTAAAAAAAAAAAAAATTCAAAGGAAAAGCCAGGGGTTAGGGTGTCGGGGAAGAGTATTTTAAGGTGTGTTACTTTTGTTTATGTTGCATTTGTTGAACTCTGTGAAGCTGTATTACTTTGCCTGTCTAAAACATCTAATGGTCTAATAAAGAGTGGAATGGCCAATAGCGAGGCAGGAGAAAGGATAGGCAGGGCTGACAGGCAGAGAGAATAAATAGAAGGAAAAATCTGGGAGCGGGAGAAGTAGCAGCCAGAGAAGGAGGAGGACTCCAGGGGCCAGCCACCCAGCTACACGGCAAGTCACAGAGTAAGGAACAAAGAAAGGTATACAGGAATAGAGAAAGATAAAAGTCCAGAGGCAAAAGATAGATGGGATAATTTAAAGTTAGGGAAGCTGGCTAGAAACCAAGCTAAGGCCGGGCATTTAAAAGTAAGAATAAGCCTCCCTGTGTGATTTATTTGGGAGTTGGGTGGTAGGTCCCCCAAAAGAGAAAAAACAACCAACATTTGGGGGTGTGGTTCATGACTTTACTCCTAGCACTCTGGAGGCAAAGACAGGCTGATCTCTGAGTTCAAGGCCAATTTGATTTACAAAGTGAGTTCAAGGACAGCCAGGGCTACATAGAGAAACCCTGTTGTGAAAACAAAACAAACAAAAGAAACACAAGAGAATTCAAAGGAAAAATGTTCCAATGGAATATATTTTCCCTTTAATACTATCAGTTGACCTTTAAGTAGTAACAATACGAAATCTTAACACTGGCTTAAAAAGTCAGTATGGTTTAGAGTTCAAGGCCACCTTGGTCTAAATAGAAAGTTCTGGGACAGCCAGTTATATGGAGACAATGTCAAAAAATAAAAGGGGGGAAGAGTGCTTAGAAAGATAGCTCAGTAGTTAAGAATACTGGCTGCTCTTCTAGAGCAGTCAGGGTTTGATTCCTAGAACCTACATAGCAGCTCACAACAGACTGTAACTCTAGTCTGAGGAGATCTGATACCCCTCTTCTGGCCTCCAAAGGCACTGTACTCACACAGTATATACCTACATTCAGGCAAAACACCCAAAAACAAAAAAGAAAATAAAGTAAGAAACTAATTACTGCATTTTAAAATGTATTTTTCAAAAAATATTTTAATGTTATTAGATGTTTTGCTGGTATGAAAGTGCGCCTTGTGTGTACCTTATACCCACAGAGGCCAGAAGGCAGCACTGGACCCCTTGGAACTGAAGCTATGGACAGTTGTAAGATGCCACGAGGGTCCTAGGAACCAAACCGAGGTCCTCTGCAAGAGGAATTTAAAGAATTCATTTAAGGAATGAACTCTCTCTTCAGGCCCTGTGATATATTTCATGACTGACAAGATGATAACCTGAGTTCAATCCCTAGGACTCACAGTGGAAGAGAAAACAATTCAAGTTTTCCTCTATCTCCACACATATACATACACACTAAATCCAATGATAGCATTTTTTAAAGATGTATGTATGTGTATGGTGCTTTGTCTGCATCTATGTCTGCACACCAGAAGAGGTCACTGATCCCATTATAGTTGGTTGTGAGCTGCCATATAGTTGCTGGGAAGTGAACTCAGGACCTCTGGAAGAACAGGCAGTACTTTTAACCACTGAGCCATTTCTCCAGCTCAATAAATGTCAGAAACTCTTTAACTTGTGAGTTTCAGACCAGCCCGAGCTACACAGTGAGTTCCAAGCCAGTTTGGGTTACAGAGTAAGAGCCTGCTTCAAAAAGCCAAATAAAAATGTACTTATGCTTTAACATTATAGAACAAAGCCAACAGGGGGCCAGAGTTGGAGGTGCAAGGCCCTGGGTCAGGCCCAGACTCACAAAGAGAACACACAGAGATCCACACAGAGAACAGGGGCTGAAATGAGGCTCAGTGAGAGAGTGCTTGACTAACATTTCCAGGGCTCTAGGTTTAACTAGCCCAACAATGCAAAAATAAACAACAAAACAAAACAAAAGACCAAAGAAATGAGTAGCTCACACCTGTAATCCCAGCAGGTGGGGAAAGGAGGCAGGAGGCTCCAGCTCAAGGTCAGCCTCAGGCACATAGCAGTATATCCTGGGAACTAGATTCCAGGTTAGTAAACTCCAGCTTCTTCCAATATACACTAAGTTAGCAAAAAACTTTAATCATACACCAATCATTAAAAACTTCACATCCCAGTGCCTCAGTACATCTATTGCACATACAGCAAGTTTTTAAGGTGTTTATTCAAGTATAGATTGTGACAGAGTAAGACATCTTAAACAGAAGAATTATTTTGTCTTCTACCTTTCCAGGGTCTCTACTGAAAAGACATCTTCTAACAAGAGAATAGAATTTGTTTTGTTTTGAATGAACTGGATGTGTGCATGCTTATGCAAATGCCACAGTGCATCTGTGGATGTCAGAGGACAACTTCCAGGAGTTCTCTCTTTCTACCACATCGGTTCTAGGGATCAAATTCACATTAGCAGCTTGGTGACAAGCACCTTTACCTGCTGAGCCGTCCTTTTCAGTTATTTATAAAAGTAATGACTAGTGTGCTGGACAGGCGGCTCAGTGGTTAAGAATGTGAACTGTGCTGGGTGTGGAGGCTTGGCAGGTGGATGTTTTTGAGTCTGAGGCCAACCTGGTCTATAGAGTACCAGGATAGCCAGTACTATCACACAGAGAAACCCCCTCTTGAAAAACCACACACACAAAATTAAAACTCAAAAAAAGTAATGGCTGCTAAGTTGGGTATGACACAGATATCATTCCAGCATTTTGGAGACTGAGGCTAAAGGATCAGAGAGCTAGGTTACAGAAAGAGTACTGTATATCATTTTGCAACAAAAGTATTAGAGTTTAACTTGTCATAAGCTTCAAGTTTGGGACAATCTCTCACTGAAATCGTCTTTCTTGTACAGGAGTACCATGTGTTAACTTACCTTCGTCCATGTGTGTTCCTGCTATAAGATGAAGGTGCTGAATGCAGGCAGTTGCAAGGGCTACCACTCTATCAATCATAAAACTTCCCTCTGTATCAATAAATACTGCTTCACCTGCTATCCCTCCAAAACATTCTGGAATCTGCACATCCACTGCCAACTGCATACTGTCAAGAAATCAGTCACATGACCAAATCATTATCACAACCATCTAAAATGTCTTTTGTAAACCACACATAATCATCAGCTAGACCATCAAAAGTTTTCTAAATACAAACATAGTACCCCAAGGCAAAAGAGATGGCTGACTCTACATAGCTCCAAATACATGTGAATAAATACATGCCTAGATTATAGTTAAGGTGTTGCACAAAATTATGATTAAGGAACTCCTAGTGGTTTTTAGGTTTCTAGGAATTGAATGCTTTATATTTTCTCCCTTTTGAGACAGGGTCTTGCTATGTATCTCTGGCTGGTCTAATAATTGTTATATAGTCCATACTGTCCTCCAACTTACAGCAATCCTGCTTCAGTATCCTGAGTGATAAGATTATAGGAGTATGTCACCAAGCCTGGTTCAGAATTCTTTATCATATATAAATCAACTTTTAAATATTTGACAAATATATCTCAGGAGCCAACTAACTAGGAGAGTATCTGCTTACTCTAGTGACCACGTTATATTACAAAAGAAACATTTTTTATTTCAAAACCATTCTATCCATTTACCAAGATGGGGTACTGAGATAATATGAACGATAAGCTAATTGTTTGATGCATGAAGTAGTAACATATCCTTTTCAGTATTCTGACTACAAACTCACAGCACAACAGTCTATTAGTTACATAAAATTCTAAGTCTATCCTTAAGTAGGGAACATCCTTATTTTACCATAACTGTGTTTTTCCAACACCTGGTACACCACAAACTTCTGTCGTTTTCATTAGGGGTATTCCACCCCCAAGAACGTTGTCTAGTGCTGAACAGAAGGTGATTATGAAGCCTTGGGTATGCTCCTGCTCAAGAAGTTTCAGTGCTGTGCACTTCCTGTCTGCCACAGAGGTCCCAGCACATCTTGGTTGATCTGTGAGACATTCTCTTCTTACAATTTGTAGAGTTTCTAATGCTTCCTCCTTAGATATTCCAACTTCTGAAAACAAAAAAAACAAAAAAACCTGACATTAGAGATTTAAAAGTCTAACTCAGCCGAATGTGGTGGCCCACACCTTTATCCAAGCACTACTAGACAGGCCAGCCCGATCTAGGAGCAAATTCCTGGACAGCCAAGACTACACAGAGAAGCCTGTCTCAAAAGCAACCAAAGGTCTAACTCTGTGATGAATTATCGCGTTAATTTCAAGGTTTATTTAGTGGCTGGGGCTCAAAGCCAGAGCCTTGGGCACGAGGGGCTAGTTAGCGCTCTCTCTACTTCTCAGCTACTGCCCTGTTAGCATCATTCCTGCTACTAAAACTCAAAATTACGACTGGGGTGTAGCTCTGTGGTAGAGTACTTAACTAGCATTTGCAAAGCCCTGAGTTCAATACCGAACACTTAAAAAAACAAAAAACAAAAAACCCAACCAGGTTCCATTCTGCCCTCTTTGGTGAACAGCCAAGAGCTGTGTGCATAGTATTAGCGGCACAGTAGATGACCACAGCCAGCTTTACTTTTGTGTACATTAAGGATGCAGTGGTTCCCACTTGTAAGTAATCTGAAGAGCTCTGAGAAAAAATGTTTGGGGTATTCCGTGAATTATGAAGGTTGTCGTCTTTCTAGGGCTTTCTCCTGGTCTAAGGGAATGGGTTATTCCTTTTATCACTTAAGTGTCTCTATTTTTTTTTTTTTTTTTCAGAGCTGAGGACCGAACCCAGGGCCTTGCTTTACCACGGAACTAAATCCCCAACCCCAAGTGTCTCCAGTCGTACTCTAATGCTTTATTTCTCGAATTCAATTTCCATCCCCCACCCAGGAACTTGGAACAGCGACTACTACATGGCTTTTCTGTTTTCCAATTCTAGAGCCACTATTACCCAACTCAGTTATCATGAAACCTCAAGATGAAAAATTGGTTCCTTCATCTATAGATTAGACACCCTGGTCCAAGAGACTTCCTTCGAGCATAGGTGAAGCAGTCCTCAAAGCATCCAGGAGGCGCGGGGACAGAGAAAGCAATCAGTAAACGTTTTCTCCACACAGTTCCAACCACAAAATTTAGGAGGCGGAGTCAAAGCGCAGCTTTACGTCGTGAACGCGGTGGCGGGAAAACGAAGATGGAGGCGGCGCCGAGCGGCCGCGGTGCACCAGCTGGCCGCGGGGAGCCGTTACCTTTGCTGAGCTCAGACGGCTTCACCTCCAGGATGTCCTCGGCAGTCTGGAAACCTGCAGCCACCAGCTTCACGCGCACCGCGGGCGACAGCGGGAAACTCACGAATTCCCGCTGCATTTTGAAAGCGCGGCGCCTCCGCGCCCAGTGACGTGGCGCGGGAGGCGCGAAAGCCCCAGCGGCCCAAACCCCGCCCGCCCCGGGCCACGCCGCGTGACGTCATGCGCACAGCGGAAGGGGCGGGGCTCGCGCGGCCTAGCCTCACGAGGCCTTGCTGCAGGGGTCATCCCACCAGTGTCCACGCTGCAGCGTGGTCTTCCAATGTGACTCCGCCGAAGCGCTTTGGGGCGGGGGGTTCCCTTTCCAAGGGTAGAGCTTGACAGTGAAAAAGCGAGGCTGGAGATGCGAGGCCCGGTAGTTTCTTGCCCTCGCTCTGGCCTGTTTCATGGGTTCCTCGAGTCTTTAGTAGAAATCATCCCCCTAGGTGGACGTAGCTGAAGCAGCAGCAACCGAACCCTGGTCAGTCGCCAGTTTCTCGCTGCGAGAACCATAGAGACGTGTCGTGGGAGGCTCCTTGTGTGCCCGCACCCTAGGAATAGAGCCCTTGGCTCTTGCTAGCTGGGTCCCCGTCACTTGCTTCCTCCTGGCTTCTCCCGCCCTCGCGAGGGATTGTGGGCCAGCCCCCCCCCCACCTTGGGGGGGGGGCAGTAGTGAGGAGCCGTTGGCGCTCGAGCGCCCACGCACGCTACCCACGCACGCCACCCACGCACGCCTTCCAGTGCGTGAGGAGCCGGGCCTTCGCTCGGGTGCGTGGCGGTTCCTGAGAGGTGGCTGAGCGCATTCATGTCCACTGGGCTGCCTAGCGTGTGAATAGCTGGAAAAGTAAGAAACCATGACTTCTGGTCTCCTCCTCCGCGTCGTGGTCGTCGTCTAGCCTGGGCCGCTCGTGTCCTAAGAGGGAGGGGCTGGACTCCTTTAGTAGCGGCGGAAGTGACCGCTTCCAAAACAGAACTTTTGGGGGAGATTGGCAGTTTGGAAGGTGACTTAGGAGGTCCTTTACCTAAGAAGTATGGAGATGATGTAATGAATTGTCTCGTACGCTACATTAAAATAAACCTTCTACGCCGGGCGGTGGTAGCGCTCGTATTTGATCCCAGCACTCGGGAGGCAGAGGCAGGCTGATCTCTGAGTTCGAGGCCAGCCTGGGCTACAGAGTGAGTTGCAGGACGGCCAGGGCTACACAGAGAAACCCTGTCTCAAAAGACAAAATAAAATAAAATACCTCCTCAGTTGTGGGATACAAGCCTACGCAACTCTCCCCGTTTGTACCCTACTTATCCATCACAGCTCTTTATTATTGCAGTTCTTTTGTGGATATGTGCAGGCACACAAGGCACGGTGCTAGTGTGGAGATCAGAGGAGTTGGTTCTCAGCGTCCATCCTGTGGGTCCTGGGGATGGAATTCGGGTTGGCAGACTTGGCAACAAGGCCCTTTACCTGCTGAACTATCTCACCTCTCCCTTGGCAATGGTTCTTAGCCTGGATTTTTATTCAGAGCTTTAAGGAACTCCTTAAATACAGCAAATTGGTGTTTAAATACTAAGGGAGGAAGCAACATGTTGAGCAGTGTAGTTTTAAATATGCATTAAATATGCATATGTCATAAAAAGTATGAGGATGTTTAAGCACAGTTTTTTTGAAACTAAAATTTAAACCTAGAACCCTTTTTATTATCCTGAGCAATCTCCAAATTCTGTTTTTGGTTTTTTCGAGACAGGACTTCTCTGTGTAGTTTTGATTCCTGGCCTGGATCTCCCTCTGTAGACCAGGCTGGCTTCGAACTCAGAGATCCTCCTGGCTCTGCCTCCCGAGTGCTGGAATTAAAGGCGTGCGCCACCACTGCAAGTGATCATGATGTGTGCTGGAGAGACAATTTACAGTGGTCTGTCTTTGCAGTAGTCTGTCCTTCCACCATGTGGGTCCAGAAGTCCAGTACAGGTCTTCAGGCTTGACTGCAAACACTTTTTTCCACTCAGCTATTTCCCCAGCCCTTTAGGTTTGTCTTTTCTTTTTTTTCTTTTTTCTTTTTTTTCTGTATCAGAGCTGGGGAGATAGTTCATTGGGTAAAGTGCGTGTCATGTAAGCATGAAGTTCAAGTCTCCAGAATGCTTTTAAAGCTGAGCATAGTAGCACTTGGATAATCCTAGTGCTCCTACGTTGAGACGTGAGGTAGAGATAGGAACGTCCTGGAAGCTTGTGGACCAGCTAGCCTAGCATATTCGGTGGTGTCTTTGTTAGGGTTACTATTGCCAAAAACAAGTGGAGGAGGAGAGGGTTTATTTGGCTTACACTTCCAGATCACAGTTCATCATCAAAGGAAGTGAGGGCAGGACCCTGAAAGCAGGAGCTGATGCAGAGGCCATAGAGGAGTGCTGCTTACTGGCTTCCTCCTCATAGCTTGCTCAGCCTGCTTTCTTATAGAACCCAGGACCACCAGCTCAGGGATGGCACCACCCACAATGGGCTGGGCCCTCTCCCACCAATCACTAATTAAGAAAATGCTTTACAGGTTTACCTACAGCTCAGTTAATGGAGCCATTTTCTTCACTGAGGTTCCTCCTCTCAGATGACTTTAGCTTGTGTCAGATCGGCATAAAACGAGCCAGCACAGTTGGCTAACAACAGAAAGACCCGATTTCAAGGTGGGAGGTGAAGACAATAACCAAAGCTGTTCCCTGACCTCCACAAGCATTCCTTGGCACTAATGCACCCAATCTCCCTCACACAGATGCATGCCTTCACACAAATTATTATAAGAAAAAATTTATCAGAGGCAGGACATGGTGTCTCATATCTGTAATTCTAGCATTCAGAGGCTTGGGCAGGAAGACTGTCTCTAAGGACAGCCTGGTGTATTGAAGAACAGGCTAGCCAATGTTACATAACACTGGTCTCAAAAAAAAAATGATGTTTTACACCTTTAACCTAAGCACTAGGGAAGAGGGGTAGCCCTTTGAGCTCTATATAACAAGTTCCAGGGTAGCCAGGATTATATAGCAAGATCCTGTCTCAAAAATAAAAATAAAAAAAACAGAAAAAGGCTGAGAGATGGTTCAGTGCATAACAGGAGCCTGTCTCTAAGCCTAGTGACTGTTGGTTGAACCCTCAGGCCCCCATGGTGAAAGGAGACGGGCTGACTCCTGAATGTTGCCCTCCAACCTCCATATATGCCCCCCTTTTCAGAAAACAAATATATAAAATGTAATTGCAAAATAAATCTTTCTAGTGCTGGGATCCAGAGCCTCACACATGATAGACAAGTGGTTTACCAATTGAGCTACGTCTGCAATCCATTTATTCAAATTTGAGACATAGTCTGTGTTTCCAAAGCTGACCTCAAATTTATAATCCTCTTGCTTCACCTCTGGAGTAGTGGGGTTATATGTATCACCATGCCTAACTCACTGCTGTGTGGGTGTTGTAGTGTTTGGTTGGTTGGTTGGTAGGTTGGTTTTGAGGCAGGTTCTTTGTAGCCTAGGCTACCATAACTTACTATGCAGTACAAATGGGCCTCAAATGTGAGGCAGTCCTTGTACTTCAGCCTCCCAGGTGTTGGAATTACAGTTGTCAGCCACCATGCCATGTCACCAGTTTAAGAAAATATTAAGTCAGGCAGTGGTGGTGCACACCTTTAACCCCAGCACCTGGGAGGCAGAGGCATGTGGATCTCAGGTCAAGGCCAGCCTGGGCTACAGAGTGAGTTCCAGGACTGCCCAGAGAAACCCTGTCTCAAACCAAAAAAAGGAGAAAAGAAAAAGGTATTAATAGGGAACCACTGTGAAAGCTTAGTGGGTAATGTCATTTGCTGCCAAGCCCCGAGGGGACCTGAGTTCTATCCCCAGGACCTACATGGTGGAAGGAGAGAACCAGCTGATGCCCTCTGATCTACACACATGAGTTGTGGCACTTGCATGCAAGTTCATAAACACAGACACTAAGTAAATGTAAAAAACTAAAAGTGTAGTTAGAGCCAGGAAGATAGCTTGTTGGGGAAGGGACCTTTCTGCCAAACCTGACAATCTGAGTTTGATTCCTAGGACCTACCTGATTGAAGTAGAGAAGACAGACTTCCACAAGTTGCCTATGATTACTATTACCATCGTAGCACCTTTATACCCAATAATAAATAAATAAAGCTAGGCTTCATACCAAATCAATCAATCAATCAGTCAAGTAATGCTAGGGCCAGTAAGATGGGTCATTGGGTAGGATGCTTGCTTCCAAGTTTGAACACTAGCATTCAATCCTCAGGGACCACATGGGGGGAGAAAAGAACTGACTCCCACAGGTTTTCCTCTGATTACACACACACTGTTCCGTGGCACGTACATGCCCACACACACACACACACACACACACACACACACACAATTAAGTAAATAAATAATGTTATCAACAATAAAGAAGTTCAAGTTAGAAAACTTCTATAAGTAGTATTTGAGCTTTGAAATTTTTAGTAATGATAGCTTAGTTCACACATAACTCCTTTTTCCCTTTCAGGCATCATTCAGATTTCAATTGTCTTGACATTTTTATTTTTCTTTTCGCTTTTTTTTAATATTTATTTTTTTATTATGTATACAGTGTTCTGCCTGCATGTGTGCCTGCACGCCAGAAGAGGGCATCAGATCTCGCTATAGATGGTTGTGAGCCATCCTGTGGTTGCTGGGAATTGAATTCAGGACCTTTGAAGAGCAGCCAGTGCTTTTAACCTCTGAGCCATCTCTCCAGTCCCCCCTCCCCTTTTCTTTAATAATTTATTTACTTTTGTTTTATGTGCATTGGTATTTTGCCTGAATGTATGTATGTGTGAGGGTGTCAGATCTTGGAGTTACAGACAGTTGTGAGCTGCCACATGGTAATGGGAATTGAACCCAGTTTCTCTGGAGAACAGCCAGTGCTCTTAACCGCTGAGTCATCTTTCCAGCCCCTCTATTTTTCTTAATATGGAATGCTTTGCAAATTCTCATGTCATCCTTGCACAGGGGCCATATGAATCTTTTTTGTATCATTCCAGTGTTAGTAAATGTGTTTTTCAAAGCAAGCATTTAACATTAACTCCACAACAGAGATGTGATGTTTTATTTATAGATTGTATATATGTACATGTGTATGTGTGTTCATATTTAATAACAGCACTCAGGAGTGAGTTTAGGGCCAGCCTGCTCAATATAGTGAGTTCCATGGCAGCCAAGGCTAGTGAGACTCCGTCTCAAAAATAAAATAAAAATAATAAAAAATAAAATAGCTGACAAATAGTCAAATGTAGATCAGTTGCCTGGCACATGTGAGCCCCAGAGTTCAATTTCCAGCACTTGAAAGGAAAAGAAAAGAGAAAAAGATGAGAATACTTCTTGCTTCCATCATAGAATCCCTTCCCTGGGTCCTTTTTTTTTTTTCTCGAGTCAGACGTCTCTGTTTTCAGTTGTCACTTCTTAGAGTTTGTTGTTGTTTTGTTGTTTGTTTTTTTAACTTTATTTTATGTGCATGGGTGTCAGATCCCCTGGAACTGGATTCACAGACAGTTGTGAGCTGCCATGTGGGTGCTGGGAATTGAACCCCGATCCTCTCTGGAAGAGCAACCAGTGCTCTTAACTGCTGAGCCATCTCTCCAGCCCTGTCACGTCTTAGTTTTTGTTTTTTGTTTCATTGTTTTTTGACTTTCCAAGACAAGGTTTCTCTGTGTGACAGTCCTGGCTGTCCTGGAACTCACTCTGTAGACCAGGCTGGCCTCGAATTCACAGATCTGCCTCTGCCTCGAAAGTGCTGAGATTAAAGGCTTGCTCTACACTGTCTGGCCACTTCTTAGTTTTAGTAAGATATTTAAAACAGCATTGTTAGGACGGAGCGATGACTCGTCAGTGAAGAGCACTGACTGCTCTTCCAGCAGATCCAGCATTGTTTCCACACATGCTCACATTAAATCAAAGATGGCTCCAGCTGACAAGGTGGGGGAAGCCTTGCCTCTCTCAGCTTTGTAGCGAGTCCTTTACTCACTGGCTCTGTTTTTACTCAATGTATCTCTCTCTCTCTCTTTTTTTGTTGTTGTTGTTTTTTGTTTTTGAGACAGGGTTTCTTTTGTGTAACAGAACTGGAACTTGCTCTGTAGACCAGACTGGCCTTGAACTCAGAGATCTGCCCGCCTCTGCCTCCCGAGTGCTAGAATTAAAGGCAAGCCTTACCAAGCCTGGCATGTTTTTCTCTCTCTCTCTCTCTCTTTTTTTTAAGATATAAAACTTAAGCTAAGTTATTTGGGCAAAGGAAAGAATACCAGAAGAATCCTGTAAATAAAATGACTTGGGAAATAGGGTGATTCTGCTGTGGTCTTAAGAGTTCTCTAGAGGAATAGAACTGGTAGAATGAGTCTGTATTAAAAGGTGATTTATTAGAGTGGCCTACAGACTGTAAACTAACTGGCTCAACAGTGATTGACTACTGATAGAAAAGCCAAGAATCGTGTAGTGTTTTAGTCTACAAGGCTAGACGTACGTCTCGGTTGATCTTCAATCTATGTTGGAATCCTGAAGAAAGGTTCTAACACCAGTGAAGGAATGCCTCAGAGGCATGGTAGTGAGGGCAAGCAGGCAGATTACCACAGGCTGAATTGATGTAAATTTATCACACGTGTGGTGGGTTGTAAGGATAGCAGTATTGTAGTTCACTTGAATGTCATCCTACAGCCAAAAAGGGCTGTGTTCCAGGAAGTTTTGGAGGCTCTCCAGGAGATTTACTACCTTAACCTTTCAAGCTTCCAGAGGCTTCCACATTCCTTAAATATGATCCCTTCTCCCACCTTCCAAGTATGCTAAGCAATTTAGTATCTTGTCTCTGACTTCTGTTGTTACCTCTGTATTTCTCTAGCTCTTTTGTGTGCTGTGTGATTTACTTTAGACTCACCTGGGTAACCCAGGATAATCTCCCCATCTCAACTACTTAATCACACCTGCAAAATCCCCTTTGCAGTGATGGAAAAGACAGGTTCACAGATTCCCAGTGGGTCATTCCGCTTGCCATATCAACAAAAACCTCATACATTTTTAGGATTCTGAAAATACAACAGTATTCAAAGTTTAGTTCAGCTTTTGTAATTACAAAAGGCTTTTGTGCCCTAAGTAATAGAATAACAATAGGATGAAGAGACTTTACATATGTTTAACGTGTTTAGAATCTGATGGTGATATGCTGGGTAACCAGTAACCGCTACTTACCTAAAGAGTATACCGTGGAGGTGGTTTTCCCAGAGTAAGGCTCACCCAATGCACTCCAGATGTGCTGACCTCTGTGGTTTTCCCAAATGCTGGAAACTTGACTGTGATTTGTGGGGTAGAGAACAACTCTGTTAATGCTCTATGTAATGTATTGTTTAACATCAGAAGCTATTTGGGGACTTTTTGCTAATGTAGGGTAGTTTGAACCAAACTTGGGAAGTTGGTGCAGAAGCAGTTTAGTGACAGTTCCCCTTCATGTGACAGCAGTCTCCTAAATGCTGGTCTTAATTAAAGACATGGGTTGGAGAGATAGCTCAGAGGTTAAGAGAACTGGCTGTTCTTCCAGAGGTCCTGAATTCAATTCCCAGCAACCACATGATGGCTCACAACCATTTTTAATGAAACCTGGTGCCCTCTTCCATCCTGCAGGGATACAGGCAGAACACTGTATGCATAATAAATAAATGAATGAATGAATGAACACTGTATGCATAATAAATAAATGAATGAATGAATAAATAAATAAATAAATATTTTTTAAAAATTTAAAGACTTGTGTTACCACCCACTTGCCACATTCGTAGTTTTTAAGAATGTGTATTTGTAAAGCTGGGGAAAGGCTTACCAATCAATTTACTTGCCCAGCCCAGATTACAGAGTACACTTTTGAAGCTCAACAATTGTATGAAACTTTAAAAAGAGAGTGGGTGTGGTGGCACATGCCTTTAATCCTCGTGCTCCGGGGGCACAGAGGCAGGCAGATCTCTGTAAGTTTGAGGCCAGCTTAGTCTATGTAGGAAGTTCTAGGATAGTCAAAGCTATGTAGTGACACCCTGTCTCCAAAAAAAAAAAAAAAAAAAAAAAAGGAAAGAGTGGTAGAGTGGTAACCCATCTTCAAAATGTACTAAAATCAAATGGAAATCTGGAAAGGATTTGAGGAAATACTCAAACAATAAAACCAGAGGGAAGAAGTAGCATGAAGAGTTCGTTTGTCTGGTTTACCAGCCCTTCTGATGCAGGTACAAATGTTAGGAGAGCTCATTAAAGGTGATCTTTGACCAAAACCCACCACAGTGCTACTTGGTTCATGACCTGGCTAATGGAGAAGATAGTGGCAGGGATTGGGGGAGGTGGGAAAAGATGAGAATGATGGAGGGAAGTATGGAGATTACTTACAAGAACACGGGAAGATTCCATCACAATCGCCCCATCCCTGGGTAATGTTGCCTGAGGTTAGGGATGTCTTCTAGAACAGGGTGCCCTCACACTACAAAAGGGTGTAGTCAGTGATGACCCCTTCCTGAGTACTTGAGTTCTGAGAATATAGGAAGACACCACTATACACAGTACTGGAGATCAAACCCATGGCATGCTAGGCAAGCAAACATTCTGCCTACTGAACTATGTTCTCAGACCAAGAGAGAACATAGTTCCTTTCTTTTTCTCTCTTTTTAAAAAACATTTATTTATTCATATATTTAATGTATGTGAGTGCTCTGTCTTCATACACACCAGAAGGAATCTGATCCCATTATAGATGGTTGTGAGCCACCATGTGTTTGCTGGGAATTGAACTCAGGACTTATGGAAGATTACTCAAGTGCTCTTAACTGCTGAGCCATCTCTCCAGCCCCCAAAAATAGTTTCTTTGTATATATGTGTGTGTATACACATGTGGGTGCACATGAGTGGCAAAGCCAGAAGCCAAAATGTTAGTATGAAAGTTGTGAGGATGTTTTTTGTTTATTAGGTGTTGATTTTTATTGTTGTTGCTTTGAGACAGGTTCCTACTATGTAGCCCTGGCTAACCTGGAACTGGATATGTAGACAAGGCTGGCCTCGAACTCACAGAGAAGATCTGCCTGCCTCTACCTTAAAAGTGCTAGGATTAAAGGTGTGTGCCATTGTGCCTCGCCTAGTTGTTATTAAAACAGGGAAGGATAAAAATGTACAACAGAAGCTGGAAAGATAGCTTAATGGTTAAGAGCACTGGCTCCTCTTTCAGAAGACCCAGATTCCCAGTACTCACATGGCTGCTCACAACCATCTTAACTCCAATTCCAGAGGATCTGACCACCTCAGATAGCTTCCATGGGCACCAGGCATGTATGTGGGTGCATAGACATATATGTACCAATACATACATATACAGTATATAGATGGATGGGTGGGTGGATGGATGGACAGACAGACATATAGATGGATAGATAGATAGAGGTAGATAAAGAGAAAGAAAAAAGTTTTTAAGTTGGAGAGATGACTTAGCGGTTAAGAATGCTTGCTGCTCTCTCAGAAGACCCATACTCAGTTCCTAACACTTACATGGTGTCTTCCAATCATCTGTAACTGTAGTTCTAGGGAATCTGACCTCCTCTTCTGGGCTCTTCAAACACAAGGCACACTCATGGTGTACATATATACATGTAGACAAAACATTCATACATATAAAATAAACCTAAAAATTAAAATTTCATATGTATAGTTGTATGTGTGTCGTGGTGCACACGTGGAAATAATAAGTCAACTTTCAGGAATCAGTTCTCTTCTACCATGTGGGTCTCAGGGATCAAACTCATGTCATTAGGCTTGGTGACAGGCACCTTTATTAGCTGAGTTCTGATATCACAATGTTCCCTGTTTTTGTTTTGATACAAGGTCTCATAGCCTAGACTGACCTTGAACTTGCTTTGTAGTAGGGGATGACCCTGACATCTTGATTCTCTTGCCTCAACCTTTCAAGTGCTGAGATAATAGGTGTATATATGTGTGTAGGGATGATGTATTTGTTTTATTTTTACTTTTTGCAGTGTTGGTTATCAAACCCAGGGCTTTATGA